GCTTTTTCAGTTCATTGGAAAGGTTTGAGTGTATTTTCATCATCTCAGGTTGTCTGAAGCCCATCGATGAATCGTTTGTGGCTTTGTGGAGCATAATCATTTCTGAAGGGTCTCCATCGTACTGGGAAAATGTTCCTAGTGCTTGTTTACAAAGAGCATCAGTCTGAACAGAGAACCGTGGTTAGAGAAGCAGGGAGGTGATGGCTGAGCAGAAGGTGAATTCCAGTCTCTGATGACCTGGATGAAATTACCTTGGTAGCTCAGGGATTAATTTACAGTGCAGGAATCATCTGAGTTAGCTGTTTGACTTGATGTTGTTGGCTTGAGCCAAAATGAATCATAAATGTATTAATGCTCTGTACCTTTATAGTGCCTTTATCTCAAAGTTTCCAAAAACTAGCAAAAAGTACCAGTTTGTGTTCAAGGTTTGTGTTCAAGGTTAAAATCCTTCAGGCACATTAGTGAGTATACCTATGTTAAATCTTTTCCAAATGCAGCAAAAATGACATTTTTTTTTTCTGAAGAAGTCACAAAAAGAAGTCTGAGACTTAGTTATCTCATTGATGAGAGAAAAGATTTCTGGGTCTCAGAACTTAGAGCAATATGAAAGTAGTTATAAAACTCTAAATTAGTATTTTCAACTGTTTTTTATAAGAGATGATTGCATAATGGGCGAAGAAAAAGCAGCTCCGCTGAGCATTCCAGCAGTCACCAGGTCGTATATTGTGTTATGGACCTGATTTCTAAAACCAAGGCTCTGACTCACATTGCTCTTTTATCTTTTCAGGAAGAAGAAATATCAATGCTAGGAGAAATAACCCATTTACAAACCATATCAGATGACCTGAAAAGTCTCACCATGGATCCACACAAATTGCCGTCTTCGAGTGAACAGGTTAGCTCTTGCTACCTGGAAAACGTTTTTATTCGTAGCTTGTACTGGTTTTCCTTTTGTGTTGTGCGAAATATTGACTACCAGCATTTAGTGGCCTAATGTTATGTTGTGTAGATGCTTCACTGCAGCAAGATCATTTTTAACATAAGCAGTTTAAAAATGTACATTATTTTGAAGTACCAGCTGAGTGCTTCTGGAGTATTTGGTGAGACCACTGTGAGGTATTAGCAGTAGCGTGCTGAAGGACATGAAGATACCCAACTTCTGCTGAGGGTACCTGAGAAATGAGTGTCATCTCCTCGCCGCATGTTTGAGCATCCCCATCTTTATGTAGTGACAGGATCGCTGGGTTAGATAGCTTGATGGAGTCTTAACATTTCAGCATTTTTTCATGCTGTCCTTAAAATGCATAGGAAAACATGTATCGTTAAATGACTCCAAGTAGTCCTTTTTCTCCAACCCTGGTGTGTGAACTCAGATTTTTTGTCATAGCTTAATCACCTTATCACTGACCTAGAAATGTAAAGGAGGGAAGCTCTGCTGTGATTGAATATTAGATCTCTGATTAACTTTTTTAAATGCAGCAGTTTTTAAACTAAGGCTGTTATAGTTTGTATAAGGAAAAAAAGAAACAACCAACAAAACAGCTTACGGCATGCATAAAATAAATCTCCAATTTACTTGTTAAAGATTTTTCCATTCAAGTCTGAACTTTTCTTCTGTGATATCAGCCCTAGTGTTGAAGTATGGTAGTTCCTGGAAAGCCAGGGATGAAGCTGGCTCTCCTGTGTAACATAGGCGGTGTAATCCTGGAAGAGAACTGAGACTGGATCAGTTGGCACTGAAAGTTTGAGTGGTGATGGATGTTGTATGACAAGCAGATGCTTTCTGTTAACAGGGGGGGAAAAGCTTCCATGTCTTTGATGCTATTGATTATCTTTCATCAGGTAATTTTAGATTTGAAAGGTTCTGATTACAGCTGGTCTTATCAGACTCCTCCATCCTCTCCCAGTACTACCATGTCCAGAAAATCTAGTGTTTGCAGGTAAGTAGACTGGTAATACTCAATTTTAACCTCTTTGGGGGCAAAGGGAGGCAAGTTCAGACTGTGGTATGGATTCGTATGCATACTTAAATCTTAAAAACAACTCTTAATTAAATGAATATGAGTCCCTCATAGTCTTTATCTGTTTAATTGTGTGGCTGGGAATATTAAAAAGGATGGGCATAACTGAACAACTATTGAACTCAAGACAACTTGAAGATGCTTTTGATTCAGTTCTCTTGAATCCATTTCAGATCAAAGAGCAGACTGTACTGATCTAAGCTCTAAAATTGTTCATTCATAATTTCCTTTTCTGTTTTTCATATGATGACTTTTTAGATTATTCTAAGTAGCTGTTACTAATCAGTAAGTTAAGCTGTTTGAAAAGGGAAAACATCCTTGGCAATTGCCCTAATACTCTGGTAGATGGAAATGCCTTTTTGATACAAGTTTTTGACTGTTTAATGCTGTCTAATGCTGTCCTGAAATATGTTGAAACACTGGATTTTGTCTATGCTTTCTCCATAAAAACTGTTTTCTCTCATAAAACAGTTTATTAGCATGTTGCCCCCATACCCTAGTGTCTACATTTACTCTTTCCTTTTCCTGAAAAGGAAGATACCCTACTGTGTATTCTGCTCAACACCTTTGTAGCTGCTCTTGAATGATTACCTTTTAGTTTGCTTTATAAATAATGTACTACAGGTTCTCTGTGTATGAGCAAACCTAGAGCATGTCAGAGCAAGTGAACATGACTTCTTCTGTGTACCTACTTGTCTCTGCATGCAGATATATATAAAAAAAACTTCAGTACTTTTATATATATATGTGAAAACATGCATATTTAGAGCACCGAGCACAGGCTTAAAGATGCAGTATCCTGAAGCTGTAAAAGGAAATGGCAAAAAAAACAACCCACAATATTATCTGTTCCTAATCGACCTCATTGTTTTGTGTGGTAAAACTTGAGTGGCAACTGACTATTGTGTATGGGTAAAATAAGGCAAAGCTCTTCTTCCCCTGCTCCAAGCCGACTGTTACATCTTGTGTGTTACATGGAATTTGTGAGCAGGAGGTACCGCATATCCTTTAGAGCCATCCCTTCAGCTAGTCAGCGAAGGTAGGAAGGTGCCTTCAGATTAACGCATCCTGCTAGTCCTGCTCAGCCACCCCAGCAGGAAACTTCAAAGGCTCCCACATTGCAGCTGGCATGTCGTTACGGTCGTCCATCCGTACGGGAGATTAAAAATCAACCTTTGTTTGAAAAATTAATTTCTTTTTCATGGATATTTATTTGGGATGTTTATTTCCCAATCGTCTTTCATACTAACTAAAGCCCAGAGGCCTGACTTCACTCGATATGCTGTCCCATGCTTTTTCTTTTCTGGTGGAAGGCCTTCATGTGAGCAAAACTTGTCCCAGGTACTCCGGAGCATGGGGTTATGGTGATTCTTTCAAAAGGCTCACATGTTGGCCTGCTGGCTGACTGCAACGGCATGCCTACCGGCAGATTTTTAGATGAACTGTGAGACCTTTGCTAGAGACCTCGTTGAAAATTTGGGCCACGGCGCAAGAGCAGCACGCTGTAAGTCAGGAGCAGGAGAGCCATCAGCTCTTTGCTGTGCGAAGGCTAGAGAGGACACGTAGTGATCCCTTCATCCCTAACCTGGCTTTGCACTCTGAGTAGTTACAGAACTTGATCAGTTGAGTGAAATTCAAGGTAAAATGCCATTTTCTCTCTAGCTGCAAGGGATACTGCAGCTGCTTATGGTTCTTTATTGATATATATGTGCATATATATATATTTAAATATAATTTGTCAACATTTTTTCTTTTCCGGTTTATGCTGCCTGTTGCTAGAGACATGTGGAATGTTAATTGTACTGTATATGGGTCTCTCCCCACCCCGCCCTTGTGTCTTTTCCTCTCCCCTTTCCTTTCTTTGTTCCTTTTGTCTCTCACAGCAGTCTGAACAGCGTTAACAGTAGTGATTCCCGGTCCAGTGGCTCGCACTCGCACTCACCTAGTTCACACTATCGCTATCGCAGCTCCAATCTGCCTCAGCAGGCACCCATGAGGCTGTCCAGTGTGTCCTCCCATGATTCTGGATTCATGTCCCAGGATGCTTTCCAGTCCAAATCGCCATCCCCTATGCCACCAGAAGCACCTAACCAGGTACGTGCAAGCATGAGAACAAAAACCTGAGCGTGAGCTGGACGCTCTAACTTGGCTCACCTTTCACAAAAAAAGGATCTGATGTTGTTTTGGGGTACCTTGGAGTCAGGTTAAACACTGAGGGTAGGGTTTGTCTCACTGCACTTCATCCATCTGAAAGTTGGGCCTCTAGCTGGAGTGATTTCCGCTGCATTTTGCAGTTAGCACTGAAGAAAGGGACGAGTCGCTCTTGGGGGATTTGGTTTTCACTCTGCCTTGGAGGGAGCCTAGAAGCCTAACTTCCAGATACACAGAAACAAGAAAGAGTGAGAAGTCCCACCTTACACGAGGCAATAATACTCACTTTACTCACTGAGATTACCAGTTAATATCCTGCACAGATTGCAAGTTGTTAAGATCTGGTGGCTGTTTACTGTTTAATGGACAAATATCAGTGCCAGAACAGCCTTCTGACAGCCTTAGTATCAATACCGGTGGCTTTGGCATCAAAGGAATTATTTCTATTCCTCCCCTGCAAAGGGCCTGAAACACTAAAAATGCCATTAACAGAATCATATGGAATTGGTTTTGCCATTTTTATGAGGTCATTTTCTGTGGATAGATTTGCTCTTTTTGACTTGCAGTTGGGCATCTTGCAGAAGTAAGGTTTCTGCATGAAAATGAGGGATATTTTTTATTATTTGTGGACCTCACAGAAATGAGTGTTTGTGCAGTCATATATGATAATGTCCTGAACTTAGTCAAACTGATAGCATTGCATTATAAATCTAAGAAAAACTTTTCCAGAGCATGTTTTGATCTGCAAAAGGAAGTTGCTGCTCTGTTCAATGGCATCATACCTGTAAAAACTAGCTGGCCACCTGCAGGCAGAGGTTTGCATGCCTCCAAGGCACGTATCTTCTCAGCACTTGAATTTTCTTTTCTCTTTCAGGAGTTTTTAACAAATCACAAAGCCACTGCCATCTCACTTTATAAATCCCATCATAAATCTTAGTTACAAACTGAAGTGGACAAAATATCCTGTTGAGTATCACTGATTTTTAATGCACCCTTAAGTCACTGCAAAAGATTGTCCGTTAGTTTAAAAAATGTAGTTGCACTCCTTTTAATATTTTGGGGAGTAGATGGTATTGTAGGCGTGGTTGGGGAGTAGATGTTTTTAATCCTCACAGTGTTAGTGTTAGCAGTTACCAAGTGTCACCTGCACACTTAAGCTACTTCTAGATCACCTTTGACATCACACAGACACTTGCTTTTTGCAGAACATATAGTAAGTAGCACCCTTGGTGAAGTGTTTTTGGTATCATCCAAAACAGTGGTTCATTTAGGCATGGAACATGCTCTCAAGGAAAGCTCACCAGGTGGTTTTTTAAAATATATTTACCTCTTTCATTTTAATAGAAATGGTTTATTTTCACATAAATACATCTTCTGCACTGTCCCCAGTCTGGACACACTAGCATTTTTTTATAGATGACATCCTGAAGAACTCTGTGCCCACTAATAAAATGAATGTTTTGTTTAGATTGGCTATCGTTAACCTAAGTGAAATGCAAAAAAAAAAGTAAATGAGCAATAATAAAATAAACTGGAATAGTGACAAGGTAAGGAAGTTGACTTTTAAGATACATACCTCAGTTACACATGCTGGCATCATCTTTGGTTTTCACAGTATCCACTGCACCTGCATAAAGGGCAGTACTCTACATGATGATGCTGTGTTTGCAGATGAGGATGTAACTTTGCAATTGCCCTTAACATGGGAAAACCCAACACCTCTCTTTGCAAGTTCCCCTGTTAAGCCAGGCGGAGAACTTAGGCCAGAATCAGCTGGCAAAACATCCTGAGAGTTGCTGGGAGTCCTGCTGCTCTACACCAGCTAAGTTCATATGCTTTCACTTCATTTTAGAAACTGTCCATAAAGTTGCAAACTGATCCCAGCATCACTTGAGCTATTAATGAGCTGTAGAAGGCTGCAGCAGTGTGACGTTGACTTGACAAGTGTAGTGTGTTGGTATAACGAATAGGTACGTGCTCTGTATGTCTCCAGGTCTGTATACCTTTACACAGAGGGAAAGGTAACAGATCCTTGCCTGGCCGCTTCATCTTCGCTTCAGTGTCTTGCTTTGTACGTTCAGCACTGAGTAAATTGTGTGTGTTGTGCTGACAGATAATTGTGATCGTGAGCTTACCAAGAAGCTGTTCAATTTACAGCGTTATTTCATGTTGTGTGTCTCTAACCAACTGACAGATCTTGCTCGTGGTATTGTGCTTTTGAGGCTCGGTTGTGGGTGGGGAGGAGCAGCAATATCGGCTGCTGTTGCTAAAACACTGATGTCATTGTTTCGAGTAGTGGCACTGAAAAAGCAGAAAAGCAAGCTCTGGAATCAGCAAGGGAAATGAAAAGCTATTTGTCTTGCACGGGTGGACACTGCTGGTGTTTGCTAGCTACATGCTGTGGCATCTACTGCAGAAAAAAAAGCCCGTTTTCTTTTAATAATGGTTTAAAAATAAAACGTAGAAGGAAGCTACATAAAATTCCCATATTGTGGCAGTGAGAATATGTGAGCTATGTGAAGAGATTTCATGCTCTCACCTAAACTTTAGACAAGCGCCACTGAAAATTAAATTGAATTTATTCAAAATCACAGGGCGGGGGGGGTGCGGGGCAGAAATCCCAAACCAGGAATAAGTAGAGATTTAAAGAAAACTATACCAGAGGAGAGATGACTGTGAAAATGAGGACTGCTTTTCAGCCTATAGTTGCTGAGTAGTAAGTCTTTAGACTTACCACACTCTGCATAGAAGACAGGAAAAAGAATAATTATAAAACCATACTCTGCCTTCACACTGGTTCAGTACAACCTCTTTTCTGTAGAGTTACTGTTAATATCCCTGGCCTTGTAACCGATAGCTGTACATGCGGAAAGGTCACTGTGAAATGCTTGAATCTTAATTAAGCGAGTACGTTTGGGTATAGCTGAACAGCTGGAAAAGCATCATAGGTCTCTTTCTGGAGCAGAACAGTTTCTCTAAATGCCACAGTTAAGGTCAGCCCTGGCCAGCGTTGCCCGTGACATGGACTGACACATGTAAAGCTGCTCTGGCTGAGAGCACAGAGTAGCTCTTGGCTGAACATTGAACGTGTCTGGTGCTGCTAAACCCACGCGTTACCCTGCGCAGTAGACAAACTGAGGTCTGGGAGTATCTGCGGTGAAGTAACGAGGTAGTAGTACAGTTCTGTTTGATTTAGGGGGATAATAATAGAAGGAGCCATTGAACTCGGAGTGATCACACACAGGGGAAGCAATTATACAGTTGGATTTTAGAGGCTGCTTTTGACTTCATGGGAGTGAAAGCAAGGTGAGAGAAAGGAGAAGATGAAGAAGAAGAAAACACAACTGTTATATGCTGTCAAGCAGCTGAAGACTAAGTCTTTATTAGAATATTCTGGAAATCATTTTCCCTAAACAGTGAAGTGGAGGAAAACTGAATATGAACTTGCTTCTGTATGTACAGATTAACAAGCTGGAAAGATTCTGCTTTGGAGGAGGCTCCATAGCTTGAAATAGCTTGAAGTTAGAATAGGGAAAATATATTATTACAGCTATTCAGTTTTCCATGTAAATTAAGAAATGCTCCCAAATCAGACCTTTAAAAACAAAAATCAAGAAGAACTGAAATGCATCTGTAAATTATTACCAGGTATTTGTTTCTCCTAAACTTCCTTTTTTAAGTTAAGTTTCCCAACAGTTTGTCCCCAACTAGAAAAGGGGGGTCAGTAGAGACATGTCCCTGGAAGTAGGACAAATTGAGGAGGTGACTTTGTATCACTATCCAAAACTTCCTGAAGGTTAGCTGTGACATCTTCCACTGACTGTAGAGGGACATTGGACCAAGCTCTTCATTAGGGTTTGGTCTTCTGGGACTCCCTTGCCCAGGAAGCTCTGTTGAGTGGTTGAGGAAGGGAAAGGGTTAAGAAAGCAATGCTATATTTGAGTGGAAAACGTAGCAAACAAAGTAATCCAAAATAACTGTGGTGCTTTTATAGGTTAGTAGGGCAACAGATGGAAAATGTAATCATACAGGCCAGTAGTCCAAAATAGAGATTTTTATTTTTTTTTCATATCCTTGCTGGAATTCATACATACTGCACCAAGCAGCAGGACACTATCCAAGACTAAGCTGTGGCACAATGTCTGAGAGACCAGATACCAAGCTATGTATGTATAAACGTGCCCAGTGTTGCCTGTGTGTGTGCTCCCAGGAGTGCGAGGGCCAGCGGGTGTGCATCTAGAGCAAGCACTCAAAAGTTTGGAGACCTTTTTGCCCAAGCAGTAGGTGGGCAGTTTCTGTTTTCAGCCCGTTGTGTATTTCTGCTAAGAAATGCAGAGTGGTCTGTGCTTCCCACACCCGCGTCCAACCATTCAAAACTTTCTGTCTGATCCAGGCGGCCTTTGACCTGCTGCCACTTGTGTTTTCTTCTACACTCTTCCTTCAGGAATTCTTCTGCCTCCCTCTCCATCGTTTTCTTACTCTTGTAATCCTTTTTTAACAAGACCAGAGGCTCCCCTTCCCTGTGCCATGCAAGTTTCTCAAGACAAGAAGGCTCTGTTTCCCTACTACTGCCTCTTGCACATCCTTCAACTACCAAGGCGTTTTCCCCAAGGCATCTTAACTCATCCATTGTCTGGCTTTGCCTGCTCAAAGTGGCCATGCTGAGGTAGTGGGAGGGTCCTTAGTTGCATCTTTTTTTCACCTTAGAGTCACTTTATTGCAAAGAAGTTCACCACTTCCAGTCTTTTTGCCCCATAAGCCAAGAAAATCAAACAATTATTTGCATCTTTAGAATTTGCATTTTTGGCCTTTTGACATCTTTTTGCTACATGTAGTTTTGTTGCTAATAAACCTCATTTATGGCCCATTCCTACCATTTTTGGATATAATCTCGTGAAGCTTTTGGCTTGTAAACAGGAATGGTCTATCAGTCAGATATAGGCTCCATTCTCACTTGTCATCATTGGCGCATCTGCTGAAAACAAGGAGGCTTAATACCTTGGTTGGAACTCGGGCCCTTCACTGTCTGTCCTGTCATGTGCAGAGTGTGCAGGCCCGAGAGGGTCTTTCCAGGGCAGAAGCAGGAGGTTTCAAACAGCATTTTCTGAAATTATATTTGTTCTCTTTTTCTTTTTTTTTCCTGGCCCAAATGTAACGCTGCTGTCAGTGTTCTCATGGGGCTTCTCAAAACAGTTTCTTTTGCTGAACTACCTGAAAGGTCAAACAGAACCCGGAGTATAAATGCCGATTTTCTATAATGTATTTTTCTCTAAGGATGAAAGAAATAGGCTCATCTTCATTTAGCATGCTGTAGTTACAACATCTGATGGCAGAGTCAACAGCAGTTCATGTTTTTTGGTATTCTTACCTGAAGAGGTTTATCTCCTGAAAAAGAAGTTGAATTAAATCAGTTCTAGAAAACATGAAGCCACTGCGTCATCGGGTACCCCAATACATACTTTTCTTTTTTTTTTCCTTAACAGCTGCATGTCATTTGTTGTAGTTTTCTTCTGATCTTATGTTCAACTCTTATTGCACTTTGAAAAGAAGCCTTGTTAGCCGAGCTTGCTTGCACCCTAACCATATTTGGCAGGTCACCCGCAGATGCGATCTCATGTCAGCGTGCCACTTCCAAGGGGCAGATGTGTGAGAGCATGGTAGGTGGTAAAATGGTCCACGTGGTTATCCATGTTGGCCTGCCCACAGGTTAATTAGTTACTGTTGTAGAGGTCTTAGAGCAGCAAATGTACATAAAGGCGTGCACTGAAAATTGGAAGAAAAGTTCCTAGCTAGGAGCAAAATCATAGAATCATAGCGCAAAGTGTTTGAAGTGTTTGATGGACACACTGTGTCCTGCATTTTCCTTCACTCTCCATCCAAGCCCCTCATATTTTCTCTCTGCTCTTAAGAGGAGGGGGGTGGCAAGCACATGCCACCACTCAGGCACTCAGCAGAGTACACGTACCTTCATACTGGCTGCTGGGCAGAAAAGTTTGAGTTGGAGTGCTTTTGGTGTATGCATGCTACCCCCAGAGGCACATGCATACAGATAACACACTTTGGAAACCTCCAGTTTTGGTAAGTATCACTTCTTTCTCTGTTCCGTAATATTTGAACTCAGATGAGCTTGTCACAAGCACTTTTGCAGATCAGAAAATCCGAGAACTTGTGAATGTAAGTGACATTTGCTGCTCCTTGTTTTACATCTAAACTTTGTGGCTTTGAAGTACTGATGATCTGCTTCTCTGTACAAATCAGTTGTCTCAGTATATTGCATGTTTGGACCATAGGTGCCCTCAGCTCCCTCAGCTTCTTGCTCTGAGACAGCTAACAGAATTGAGACGCTGGAATTGCAATGAGGAGTTGAGGTCGCTGCCTCCATTTCCTCATTCTCAAGCAACGTGGCAAGTTCTCGCATTAAGCAAATGGCTTATTTTGTCTCATAGATTTCCTGAACATTAGCAATGTTTTTGAGCAGTTTCTAATCGATTTTTAAAACCCTAACCCTTTGCTTCTCTCATCCTTCCCTCTCTCCTGTGTGTGTCTCTGTGTATGTGCTTTTTGTCTTTTTTTTTTGGTTTTTCTTTTTGTGTTTTTTTTTTTCTCTTTTGGTGGCTTGTGTATCCTTTCCCTGCGTTGCGGTGCTGTTTTACGCTGCAGAATTCGTCCAGCTCTGCCTCTTCAGAAGCCTCTGAAACCTGCCAGTCAGTGAGCGAGTGCAGTTCCCCCACCTCAGTCAGCTCAGGCTCCACCATGGGGGCTTGGGCCTCCACAGATAAGGTGAAAAACTTCATCTCAAAGACATATAAACCTATTAGCACTTTATCCAAACCCAGCAATATTTGGACCAAAAAAAAACCTCTATGCATGGGACGCAGCCAGGATTCTTCTCTGCGAAGATGAGAATAGGAACTATTGCACACTCCTGTAGAAATGAATCTGTTTGAATAAACCACAGCGATGCTTGCCTTTAGCTGCTAGGGGGAAGCTACAAATTGGGCATTTTACAGAGATGATTTTCTAAGAAAAAGCTGATTGTCCACCTTTTCTACTCAAAGAGATTGTGCAGTGCTGCCCAAACCCAGGTGGTTGCCTGAAAAAGAGCATCTTGCCCAGGTTGTACTGTTTGTGGTTTCTCCCCGCTCTCACATTAGGCAGCACGCATTAGACTGAGCAATTGGGGGTTGTTTTTGACCAAAACAAAAAGGAAAACAAAACACACATGGTTGGAATAAATTACGGGGGATACACTCTGAATTGGGGGAGGAAGTGATAGCGGTCTCCATTCTCATCTGGTAAATCCTTGCTGTTGGTTTTTTCTTTTTTTTTTTTCTTCTTTTTTTTCCTTCCATATCATCACACAGCCAGAACATGTCATGTTTGAAGGCTGTATGCTTTTCCTCTCTGTCCAGTGACACAGAATAAATGCCACCAATGCAAATGCCACCAGTATTGGAAATGTTCTGTTTCTATGTCCGCAGTCTGCAGGGTACCTAAATTGCAAAGGCTTTTTCACAGTGCGCTGCTTTCACGGACAGAAGGCAAAGCTGCTCAGCCTGGAGACAGTGACTGCTGGATTGGTGTCTGAAATTGTTATACCGAATAACAATTTTCAAGCAATCTCACTTCTGAACCAAGCGTTGTATCAATTTTCTGTTGTTTGTTTGCAGCAAAGCTAAGATTTTTTCTTTCTTTTGTTTTAAGATACAGAAGTTGTCTCCCTAGAGTCGCAGTATATTTTCATATTCATTCTGTTTATATTAATTTCTCTGTTTTGTTTGTTTATTTGTTTCGTTTCCAGTTGTCTAATGGGTTTTATCACTGTAGTTTATCAAGTGACCCATCCGTAGCTTCAGTTGGTGCAGGTCCTTTCCCTCATTTCCCGCCTGTCTCCCGCGCGTGGACTCGGGCTCCCTCAGCCCTCCTTCCAGACTACGTTCATTATTACACCATTGGGCCAGGCATGTTGCCATCATCTAAGATCCCTAGCTGGAAGGTTTGTGTTCCTTTTGTTGTGGCAGTCCTCACCTCCTCATACCAACAGTGTGCACACGGCAGTTGTTGCTACCTTTCGATCCATGTAATTACTCATTGATTTGCTCTGTTTAATATCACTCTGAATGGGCACTGCATGGTGATGGCCAGAGAGCTAAAATCTGGTAGTGGATATTTCTGAATGACCTTGTCTATTCGGGCGCTGCCTAAAACGTATCAAAGCTGACAACATGTAGGTAGGAAGGAAGAGTTTAGCTCTGGAACATTGGTGAAAGCACTCCGGGCTCTATTCAGCGAGAGAAGAGCTTGTTTAGAACCGTCACAGCGCTCACTTGAGCAAGGAGGTGCAGGTTTGGCATCCAGTTGGCTTAGTGAAACCATACATTGAACAACACGATGTTCTCGCTGCGGTGGCTGTGCTTGGCCCCTACCTTGGCCATAGGCAGACGTGCCCTTGTAGATCCAGCTGGAGCGGTTTAAGAAGGCGCTCGTCACCAGGTGAACCCAAGTGATGACTGAAGCTATTCTGGCTTTACTGCCACAGACCGAAGCTGCTCACCCAGCTTGTTTTGTTCTCTTGGGTGAAACCACCAAAAAAGTCAGAGTGCAGTTACTTTTTTCAGTTGCTCCAGCTGGATCTGCAGGGATTGTCCTTGGTGTCAAAACATCTCTGCTTTGCCAGAGCCTTGACTCTCGTCCCTGCCAAGCGATTCCCCTGGGAGATTGTGCCCTGGAGCAAGGGCACTTGTCTGTTGCCCTGAATCTTCACAAGGCTTACGTGTAGTTGAAAGTCGCTGCACAGGTCTTAGATGCCTGTGGATGGTTATATGTAGCACTTATGCACCGTGGGGCCTCCTTATACATGTAAATGGAGACGCCTTAATCTCTCCAGCAGCTGGAGGCTGTTGAGACACAGTGGTCCTGGAGCTTCAGGGTTATTAGTTGTGTCTATGCCAGAAGCACTTTGCCAGTGTGTTTCACAGCAAAACACTTAGAGCAAAGACACAGCTGTTAAGGCAAAGCAGAATTTCATGTGTAAGTAAAACCAGAATACCTGTCTGCACAAGGTGCTTCTGCCAGTACAGCTGCCCTGCACTTCTCACACCTTGGACTGAGACCCGTCAGTAAAAATCTATGGCGTGGTCTTAGCCCCTCGTTCATTATTTATCAGAAGGCTGAGCAGAGGCTGCCCAGCAGCCACTTGCTGTCAGCAGTGGGGAGGGTGGCCCATTCTCATGCACAAATTGTTTCTTCTATTTTTATGTTTAAAGCACCGCTTGTCTTGGTGAGAGAAGCCTCTGGTAGGATTGGGCTTAGCCCTGCAGCACCTCATATTTGGGGAGCTGCTCCCTAGCAGTGGTTCTGCATCCCAGCACAGGTCACTGATCAGTCCTGCTCTTTGTGTGCAACGTGTGGTTTCCGGACACCCTCAGGACTTTGCTTAATAGAGCCCTGAGTGAATACAGCCCTCGTGGCCTGAGGAATTTTGGTTTCCAATTTGGCAACCATAATTCAGAGTGAGTTAGTCTTTCTTAAGTACAGATCACTATTATAAACTAGATTTCAGCTAATACGTAAACTGAGAGATTACTCAGTAGCTTGCTCCTCTAATGTGTATCAAAAAATCTGTTCAAGCCTAATTTTTCAGAACTGAAGACATGGGTAACAGCACGTAATACTAGAACTTGTGTTTACCTAGAACGCTTACATTGCTGATTGAATACTTATGTATATTTTCTGCTGTGTGCCAGTGATTTTTGCACTTGAATTTCTGAAAACATAGGCTTTAACACAATGGAATTTCATTTAGAGAAAACAAAAGTATTAAAATGTTAAATATCTTCTTATAAGAACACGAAGCTAGAATAGGAAATTTAGATTCCCTTTAATAAAGGAGAGAGGTTTTATAAGTGAAGATTTTTAATATCCTCAAAATTAATTTATTTCTAACCTTACTCAGAAAGGCATATCCAGTTTGATACATAAGCTGTTGCATTAAAATTGTCCTTTTGTATAGTTTTATGTTGTAATTAAAGTGCAATTACTGATGAAAGCTATCGCTAACAAGCACGTTTCCTTAGGACTGGGCCAAGCCAGGCCCGTACGATCAACCCATGGTGAACACGTTGCAACGCCGCAAGGAAAAGCGCGAACCAGATCTCAACGGAGCAGCTCAGAGCGGGGCAGCCGTGCCCTCTGAGGAGGCCCAGAGACCTCGGAGCATGACAGTGTCGACTGCCACACGGGTGAAGCTCTAATTTCAGATACGCTATTTGGTGCAAAGGAAACGGACGTGCTGGCTCCTGGCAATACTTTTTGATGTGCTTTATGTTGGCACATGTTTAAGCGGTGCTGGTGTGGTGGTGGTGTGGTCGGTGCAAACCATGTGGGTGTGACAGAATACGCTGTTGGGTACTGGCATTTGTAGAGCAAGAGCATCCAAAGGCATGTCTGTTTCTAAGCCCTGGTAATTGGTTGGACACAATCCTGCTGGGTTGGGGTAGTGACAAGCTCTGCTTGGCAGGAGAGACAGCTGAAAGCTGGTGAAGACTGACTAACCCTTCTAGACATGACGAGTCTCTTTCCTGTGTGTAACCAGCAGGGAGAGGAGATGGAGGCCTGCGAGGAGCTGGCGCTTGCTCTGACGAGAGGGCTACAGCTGGACACACAGAGGAGCAGTCGGGATTCCCTGCAGTGCTCCAGTGGCTACAGCACCCAGACGACAACTCCGTGCTGTTCAGAGGACACAATCCCGTCACAAGGTACCCATCCAAGAGGTGTCCTTTCTCATTCCCAGCCTGGCCATCATACGCTGACCCACGATGCCAAGGAGCTACATTCCAGCAGCTGTCACTGGCTTTGTACTCAGCTGGGGAAAAAGGGGTGAATGTTGCTGTTGTGATGTTTTTTTCCAGCTTGGAATGCAGCCTGGATTTAGTAACTGAATAGAAACCTGGATTGCTGCATGGTGTACTGAACAATCATATTTTCTTTTGCATTACTAAAATGAGTTGTAGCTTAAGAATGCTGCTATTTTAAGAAAGATGCTGGAATTATATTTCATGGATTAAGTGGAATGACACTGGTATTGCATTATACATGTCTTGTGGCAGTAGTATCCTTTCTGACTTACTGTCTTGGCAAATATGCACTCAAGAGCTTCGCTTTCTTGCTCTGTCCGTACTCTGAACCTGCTCTTGGTTTCTCTTTGTGACCTTTATTTCCTACCTAAGCAGAAATTTTATAATTGGAAAAAGAATCCTTTGGAGACCTTGACTTGGGCATGCCCGGGAAGCTGCAATAAGGTATTGGGGTTTGTAGCCTGTTTCAGAACCAGCAGCAAGCTGAGAGGGACCGAATTTGGTGTTTGCACTTCAGCGACCACCTTGTTTGCTCAGCTGAGGTTGGTTGTGCTGTGCGATCAGGAGAGGCAGTGGGGCTTGCAGAGGGCCTAGCTTGGCTCGGCAGTTGCGTGGAAAGGAAGGAACCCGATGCAGTTATTAAAGCCGAGGCTGAGTTTTCAGAGCTGACAGCCAGGATTTAGTTTGTTTGCAAAATAGATTTGCAGTCCCCTGAGCTCCACATTGCCTCGTCTAAACTATGCTTTTTAGTCACTGACTGTTTTAAGTGTTTATATCTACAAGTGGTAGCATATGGCTTGTAGGATGCTGGTTTTGGTATCTTAATGTTGGCAGCAAACATTGAATCTTCGTTACTTAATTAGTTCTTTTCAGAGAAGGTACCGAGTGTGTGCAGTTCTCGTTCTCTTTCACAAGAGACATAAGCACCCTGCAGCCTTAGGGTCAGTCTGCTGTAGCATCTGCCTTCAGCCAGGCAGTCTGAGAATCTTGGTCACAATAGCTCAGGCTTCCTTTCCCCTAAGAGAGGTAAAAGCTGTCTTAGTTGCTACTGACCTCCAGGCTTTTTTGGCTATATATCCTCTTTTTGGTTATACATAGTGTTTTTTCAGTTAGACTTCAGACTTGCTGACATGACTCAGCTGTCTTCCCCAGCTTGTTCCTAATTCTGTCTTTTGGCATCAGTTTCAGATTATGATTATTTCTCTGTGAGTGGTGACCAGGAGGCAGAACAACAAGAGTTTGACAAATCTTCCACCATCCCAAGAAACAGCGACATTAGCCAGTCCTATCGCAGAATGTTTCAAACCAAGCGTCCTGCTTCTACCGCAGGTCTGCCAACCACGCTTGGACCGGTCATAGTCACCCCTGGCGTCGCCACCATCAGACGGACCCCTTCCACCAAGCCTTCCGTCAGACGCGGTACCATAGGGGGAGGCCCCATTCCCATCAAGACGCCGGTGATTCCCGTCAAAACGCCGACTGTCCCCGATATCCCCGGGGGGCTGCCCGGCGCCCTCGTCGGGACAGAAGAATGCCCCGAGCAAAGTCCCGAGTCTCCGGCAGCAGGAGATGGTGGGCAAGGCGTCGCCAGCATGCCCTCGTCCTCGTGGAGCGGGCAAGCGTCCGTCAACCCTCCGCCGTCGAGCCAGAAACTGGGCACTGGCGACGAGCAGAGGCAAGCGGTTCCCGAGAGCGAGGGGGAGGAGAGCGACCCGGATGGGGTCGGCGCCCTCACGCCCGCGGGCCCAGCAGAGCTCATCCCAGGAGAGCTGAGCCCTGGGGACGTCCCGCAAGGCGAAGACATGCTGAACGCCATTCGGCGCGGCGTCAAACTGAAGAAGACGACCACGAATGATCGCTCAGCGCCTCGTATTTCCTAGGAGTGGAGAAGCTGCCAGAGTACTAGCTGCCGAGAAGGAACTGTGAGGAAAACTAATTTGTCTCTATCCATTCCAATCTGTAATCAATGAATTTTTTAAGCTACTCGGTAACAGACAGTCTGAAAGTACTCTAAAAGAGCAAACAAGGTGAAAGAACGTAGTAAGACACAATCTTCACTGATGTTTTAATTTGTAAATATCAATTATTTTGTTTCTGCATTTTTTTGATCTAAGTTACACTTTTAATTTTTTCTGAAGGTGCCAAATCCCATTTACCTTTTTTATAACTCTCTTTGTAAAGTTTTAAATCACAGGAGAAAAAAAAAGTCAAGTAGTTAACTTCAGCAAAGGGATTCAATGAAAATTTGGCTTTTTTGCAAGCTTTTGTAGAGCGCCTTGTAATAGTGAGGTTAAAAAAACAAAGCAAAACAATGGGACTTACTTTAAAGATTAAGTCAAGCTGTATGGAACAGATCCTCGTTTAAGTATTAAGAAAGAAATTTAAGGTTGAAAAGCGGGAATAAAAATTGACAATTAAAGCAATATATAATGCAAGGAAGAAACCTGCGGTCGGTAGAGTATTTTGGGGGGTAGTGGGGGGAGGGAGATGCCATCAAAATAGCAGATGCTGTTGCACAAAAGTAGCCTAGTAGGATTAATTACTAGTAGCTTCATGGTAAATGCATCAGAATAAGCCATATTGGATTGCAGTGTTTTGTTTTTGTAGGGTGTTCTAAAGACTGGGTTTTTTCCACGTTTCTTTTTTGACTGCACAGCAACAACTCTCAGTCACATGCATGCAGCCTTAACTGTGTAGGCTTGGTTCTTCCACCTTCACTTTTCGTTCCACTCATCCTTTCACTGAATACCAACAAGGACGACAGGCTTAAAGGCAGTTACAAATGTGAAAACATTTTTAAAATGCGAGCAGGGAGTTCTTAGATATTATCAAAATGCCTTTTTCTGACCGTGCCCAGCAGGCTGGGCACCTTGGAAAGCCCAAATATTTTGAGAAAACACTGAACAATTTGACAGGTGTAACCAACTTGTGATCTAATAAACTGCGAATGTTTCTTTCCAATACAGGGGCTTGTTTTTCTTAACTTCTTTTAAAGGGCAGTTGATTGGCTTTTCTTAAATACCGAAAAGAAAGGGGCGAAGGGCGGGGGGTGGGGAGAGCTACTGTTTTTTTGATAATACTGGGAGTCTGACCACTATAGTCTCTTTTTTTGTACTTTAAGTCATGTTTTTTGGAAACGCTGTTGTTAGAATTATTAAGAGTTGGATTTTTTCCTTAAAGTAAAAGTAAGTTATTGCTGCAATACCCGTCTCCTGAAGCTGATAGAAATATGCAGACCCCAGGGCCACGACCCGTGTTCCCGTCAAGACAGTCCGGGAGGACGCCGCCTGCCCACCCACAGCAGGCCCAGGCGTGGGTGGGCACCGGGGCTGCGCAGCCCGGATTGTTTCCAAACGCACCAAATAATCCATATACGGGGCTCGTTTCCACCACACACGCTCTGCAGATTTCTGTTGGCTCTAGACTTGCCTACATAACCTCTTATGCTTTACTACATAACTGCATTGGATGTAAAACTTGTAGTAACTGTGTAGTCACTGTGTTCTATATAACATTTTACACTGCTGTGGTTGCTAACCTTTTCTTTTGTTATGGCTTAAAAACAAAAAAAACAAAAAAAAAAGGCATGGTTCTTAGAAAATACTAAACCTTCCTTTCTTTGAAAAACAAGCTCCTTATTACAGAATATAATAAACAGTAGTGCCTGTGGTGTAGCCCACCAATCTTGATACAGTAGCTGATGCATTGTGCAAATGAGGCTTTGAGATGGTTTTTGCATAAACAAAAACTGCTAGGAGATAATCTCAATAGTTAAAAGTGTTATTTAAACCTTTGAAATAAATGGATGTAACTGTACCCAAGTACAGCTTTTCACTTGTTTAGTTCTTAAACGCTAGTATAATCAGTAAAATTTAATATAAAATGTTGCCAAATTCAATGTAGAAAGAATGTGACAAAACACTTTGGATAGTTCTATTGTTTGTGTTTTTGCATATTGTAAAAGCAGTGTCACAGCTAAAAAATAAAATGTTTCTAATGGTAAATTATTGTGGTTTAGTTGCTAGTTTGTACTGAGAGTTGACCTCTCCCTGTGCAGTTTTTTGTTCTAAACTGGTATAAATAATTGCTGTAAGTGTGTCTCCCTTCTACATTGTAATGATTGCTTAAGCCTACATTATAAATAAAGAACTGCTGGAAAACTTCTGTATTTCGGTTCTTAAAGACTTTCTGCTTTCAGAGTTTGGGATATCAGTGGTGTCCATCATCAGGCTTCTGAAGATCACACAGGTTCCATCTGTGTGTAGCAGAAGCAAAGGAGAATTAAGTAAATAAAATTGCATATGACTATGTCTTACTGATGTGCACAGGAAGAGTAGTAGCAGAACAGAGTGCAGTGCCAACGATGGAAATTCCATGGAATAGTAACTGATGACATTTCTCTGTCACTTACTAGTGTTACCTGGCCAGGAAGCGAAGATAACTCAGCATGTTTGTGCATCTCCTTCAGTGCTGGACCACAGTTCCTGTAGCCAGAGGAGGAAAATTGCTGCTGTCAGTGCTTGCCCTGCTTGCGGCCAGAATTCCTCAAGCCCAACACCAGCGCTGTCTCCCGCACCCCCAAGTGACTGAAGATTTGCAGTTGCTCGGCTTTGGATCAAAGGTAGACAGGGAGGACGTTGCTCCTACTTTCAGCTACCACACAGTGGCCTAATTTATTTCCTTGCCACTGCGGTAGATTTATTTTTGTCCCGAGGTTTCCATTTGTGATTGTATTGGGTTTGTGTGGGTTTTGGTAGGGGGGTGCTACAGGGGTGGCTCCTGTGACAACCAGCCAGAAGCTGCTGTATCCAGTGGAGCCAGTGCTGGTTGGCTCCAAGACAGACCTACCACTGGCCAGAGCTGAGCCCATCAGCGTGGGTGGTGGCACCTCTGGGGTAACGTGTTTAAGAAGGGGAAAAACCAAACCTGTATAACTGCAGCTGGCGAGAGGAGTGAAAATATGTGAGAGAAACATCCCTGCAGGCACCAAGGACAGTGAAGGAGGAGGGTGCGGAGGTGCCCCAGGTGCCAGAGCAGAGATTCCCCTGCAGCCTGTGTTGAAGTCCATGGTGGGGCAGGTTGTGGGGGCTGCCATGGGGAGAGTTACCTCCATCCCAGCCAGGCCCAGGACAGTCATGAAGACCTTAAAGGAAAACTCAAGGTGGTTTGGCTGGAAATATGTCCTGTCTCCAAAAGGATTCTAGTTTCATTCCCCCCGTCTTGCTGTATCTCACGTGCTGCCTGGCCTAGCACTCTCATTTTGAACTCTATTCCACCTGCTTCTACAGTGATTTTGATTCACCTGAAGCAGAAGGTTGTGGGGTTTTTTTTTGCTGTGGAGTCAGGGTTAATGCTGGGATGTGGGGTTTCCATCATGGTAGGTAACATCAGTCTGACCTGCTGTGAAAGTCAGGAGGTACTTTTTGGCTCAGTTTTCTAGCAAACAGGAAAAAAAAGAGTGGTTGCTTGGCTGACTGAGAGGGAGGGTGCAAAATCACACATAATTAAAAAAGAAGTACTTTGGTGTTTGTATTTCTGAGTGTAGTCACCAGACAAGCAAAGTACAGGAATAGGTTTTGGGGGGAAGGCAAGGAGCGGGAAGAGAGGACAGTTTTCATAAGCTCATGTTTTTCTGAATAGAAATTTGCCCCGGTCTGGTTTTGAATATTTGGGCTAATGCAAGTCACAAATCAGTTTGTTTGGATTTTTAATTTAGGGAAGTGCAGTGCTGGTAGTGCACACCCTGTGTTGGAAACCCATAGCAAATTAGAAAAGGGGCACAGGTCAGAACTCTGACAATGAAGAAGCACTGACATACAGCAGAGAACAGAATCAATACTTGAGCAGAGGAAGGACAGCTCAGTTCGGAGAAGGCAAACAGCCTCAAGGCGAGGGGTGCACTGAGCAGCTGAAAAGGGGAGACATTGATTCTGATACTGCCTTTGGGCTGCTGGAGCAGATCCGGCTTCTTCATAGGAATGAAAATTTCAGCAGCGGAATACATGAAGTTAGTTTTCTCTTTGTTTTTCAAAATACAGGCGCATTTTAATGGTTGAGCTTACTTAAGAAGGCCATGTAGAACTTCTAAAAACCGGGCAGATTAAAAGCCTTTATTTATACCCAAGCTATATATGTTTAATCCTTAGAACAGTTGAAGTTAGTGCCTTTGCCGTCTTTTGTATCTTCAAGCCTTAAGTTGGAGATCATGGAAATATTAGGCCTCAGAGTTAAATATGGTACAATCAAAGTAACTTCTGTAGAATGAAAGTCATTCTTTGGTAATCCAAATCTCCTGTCTCCTAGTCCTAAAAACAGGAGAAGAGCAAGAAAGGTTTTCCTATGAGCTTTTACAGGGTGGCTATATGCCATCTATTCTCTTACGGGGCAGTTTGTGGAAGTGTTGGCAGAACTTCCCATGTCTCAGATCAATGTTTTGGGAACGAGGCCAGAAGAAAACAGCTTTTTGTACCTAGGTCATCGTACTGGGCTGCCTGCTACAAGCCTGCTACAGCAGAGTGTGGAGGAGGCATGTTCCTCAGCAGGCCACTCGCTTTAACTGACACAGCCCTGCTGGTATCTAGGACTGAGTTTATATAGGGATGAACTTTCTCCTTTGGTGCTCTACAGCAACGCTATCCCTACCCAAGTGAAAAATGTAGCAAAGAGCTTAACGAGGTGGGAGAAGAAGGACAACAAGAAGTTTTTATCCCTAAGGAAGGTTAGAAATATCCTCGTTCCAGGAGGACCCAAAGCCCATGTCTGTCACTGTCGGTATCGCAGAACTCAGCTTTAACACCTTGCCTGTATTTAGTGCCAGATGCAAAGTTACGCGGCCGATACAAATAATTTATTTTCAACCACTTTTCCAGGCCTCTCTGCCACCTGCTCCACAGCAGAAGACAAGCTCTTGCCACAGTTACTCTCAGTTTAGCTGTTTATCATTCAATCCAGTCCCCCAGCGACTCTGCTTCTCCTCCCCCTTTAAGCTCACATTCCTTCTCTGGGAACACGAGTTTTACATGGGCAATTTTTTTAGTCTCTAGTTGAGCTTTCTAACTCTGACTGTGAGAGCTGCAATAAAACTTGCTCTGGTGTCAGTACCCTGTCAAGGCTTCTTCACAGGCCAGTCAAGTGTTCTCTGGCATCTGAGGTATGCAGCGTAGCTGTTAACAGTCCCCTTTTCTGTGGAGAAGCATGCACGAACTCCGAGATGGTGGAAAACAGAATTCGCTTTATTGCAAGCAGACACACATATTTATACGTCTTAGCAAGAAGCACTGTTTGTGGGTTACCAACAAGAGACCAGACTATGCAGCCAGGGTTGTTACCAGCTCATGTACTCCCTCAATCACTCTCTTATCACGCAGGGAGAACAGACTTTCCCAGGTCTGTTTTGATCACACTCTCCCATTCACTCCCATGCACATCTTGTGTACGAGAAGCCTCTTATCTGTCCATTCTCATGGACAAACTCCCAACACGAGCTATACTCAGCTGGTCAGGGTCTCCTTTCATAATGAGCAAGCAAGAGTTAGGTACTTGTTTAGAAAAGAGCTCAAGGACGAAAGTCTTAATTCTGCGACGCAGTGCTGCCAGCACAGCTAGCTGTAAAACGTATCCACACTTTTCTACACTGCAACAACTGGAAGCTAAGAGTGTGCACGCTACAGAAGAACAGAACACCTGAAAAATGCTTTCTCTTCCTCTTTATTTGGCTTTATTTTGTAGTACTTGTATTAATACTACTTTTGTAGTATCTATTTTTGTACTTCTTAGAGCAGCATGCAGTCACTGACATGCTGACTGCCTACAGAAGACCACTCCAATTCTGACAGGAAAACATGCTTTTACATGGGAATTTCACGAGGTCTTGTAACATACTGCCACCACAGTGGTGGCAGATGCCCTTCCTTACGAGCTGGAGGCAAAGCTTCAGTTCTCGGACCATCAGGTGGAGTTTCTTCTTCTAACTGCTTAATCTACAAGATAAGAGAGACAATGGCTTTAGTACATAAACGCACATTTCCATAACGTGGTTTCAGTGCCCAAGGGGCCAGCAACACTGGCTCCCATTTCAGAAGGGGAGAACCAGCAGTAGGGCCTTGGGTTGACAGACAGGTTTCACGTTTCCCAGCATTTAGTTAAATTCAGTAATAACTGCAGGCTCATATTACCTAATTAAGAAAGAATTTTCAGGAGTAAAGAGCAATTTGCTAGAGAACTTTTAAGTAAAAGGTCATTATTTCCCTGTAATTCGTGTCTATCATTGCAACACTGAACAGACTGAACTCTCTTGGTGCCTTGAAAGCTGCCAGATAATTGCAAGTCCTGAAGAACTTCCATCCCAGCCCCAGCTCTATTTCTGCAAGTCACCACCAGCTCTTTGGATGTTTTCAATACGTGTTTCTTGAAGCAGCGTACGTGCTGGCTGCCCATGTTAATTCTGAGAAGAGCGCCTCACTACACATCTATTTCTCTCCAACTGAAGAACTATTCTAAGAATATCAACTTTTTCCAGCTGAATCTCAGTTTAGGATGAACAGAAACCAGTATCGATTCCCAGCCAATGAACACTGTGGTAAGTCACTTCCAAAGGTGCAACCAGAAAGTGTTAGAGAAGCAGCAGCAGAATTCTCATCATTAATCTCCTCTCACCTCGCTTCAGAACTTTTTAGCAAAACTGCTACGACAGCCCTGCACTAACGGAAACAGGGTTGCAGGTCCAGCTTTAGCTTCAAATTTCTTTCACAGCCTTTAGGAAACTGTAACCCCGATATCTCTGTGCAGCCATTCTAGGTCATGTCAGTGCTTCACACTGACAGGAATTTTAATAAAGCAGAATCTATAAATGAGGCCACAGCATGCATTCAATAATTTTTCCAAGAACACATCTAAATGTCACACAAAATACTTGCATGCTAACAGGGCTTTATGTTGCATTGAGCAAGCACTGACCTCTTTATCCCAGCTTTCCTGCTGCAGCTTCTTCCATTGCTCTCGTTTGGCAAAGTAATCAGGGTACATTGCCTTCTCAGAAGGATGCCAGAAATCCAAGCACCATTCAGGAATCTATTAAAGAAAAACGTAATTTCTGTGTCTTATTTTTACATATGAAATCCTATATAGTACACACATGAAAAACAACTATAGACAATCACTGAAGCCACTATTAAAATGCATAAATAACCCAGGAAATATAGTTGTACATAAAAATACCATCCAAGAGCTACCTGACTGCCGTTAGTCTGGCAAAGAGGTCAGTACTTTTCATCTTTGTTTCATACATGACCCTAAGCCGTAGGAAGACGTCACAGTGACTTGCTTAACTCACTGTATCCCAAAGACAAGTCCCAGGTCATCTCAGCTTACTTTGACGTTCTCAAAATATTTCCATCTGAGAAAATCTCCTTTCTTCCATTCCTTCTACCAAAGGAAGCGAGTTAGAGAGATCCTTTTCTCCAGCTACTCATTTACTTTATTTGACACAGACAGCTCATATCTCTTTGTCTACAACTACTAAATAATTAGTGGCCTTTAATATCTTGATAACCATCTGACCTCTGAAATGTCCAGTAAAAAAAAAAAATTAAAATTCTGCAGCAGCATATCACTAGATGTTAATATGTTAAAGATAGGAACACTGATTAAAAGCCATAACAAAACCCCACCAAACCCCCAAATTCTTAAAAAAAAGAAAATTAAGAAGCTGCTCTAATACCATCACTCATCCAGTAACATTTACACTTCCAGCTTCCTGCTGTGATTCTCATCACTGAGTAAACCTCTGACTGACAGAATTAGCAGAGCTGCTAATAATATTATTTAAAAAAAAAAATCCACACACATCAAACAACAAGTAACACCACCAAACAACCTGAGATCTAAAAATTACATTCTGGAGAAGCATCTACAATGGACAGTCACCAATGTATCAAAAAGCCAAATCCTCATGACAGACATTTTGTTGAAGCATATCAAATGGGGCAAAGAAAAGAGAACATAAACCAGTTGGTAATTCTGTATGAAGATTAATCTTTACCACTTATTGCTTAACTAGCCTTTTCTCCATCTAGATTCTCTCTGTCTTATCTCTATCTATCTTATCTCTACTACTGCTAAGGCCCATGACCCTGGCATATGCTTAAGTCCTCCTCTTCTCTTTTCACCCATATGTGGGGGTTTTTCTGCCTCTGATAAACCTACATCAGATTCTTCCTTTCACATGGTTTCTTACATATAAAGATCTGATTGGATCTAGTCTTGTGTCAGCACTTTCTTCAAATTCAGGAGAAAATAGGTGCATGCACCTTCTAAGTTGTCTTTAACTTCTTGTAATGCATTAAGGGCTGATGCCAAGAAAGCAAAAACTCCGTGTTTTTCTAGGAAATCTGTTTCTTTACTCCAAACTGGAAGAATCTGCCTGTGGAGGCCTCTAGAAGTGCCTCAGATTCTAAAAATATGGTTTCTATTTTTGAGACATACCACCTTTCACACAGTGACTAACAAATACGTATCTGGCACTGCAGCATACGAAGGGAAATGGTTAGGGTAGCATAACTCAAAATGATGGAAGAACAAGGGCAATGAGTGAAGAGCAGTCCCCCAAGAGCCAAGACGACATCTGACAGGCCCAGAGAGAAACCAGACGGCACCACAAGGGGCAGCACAGCTTCCCTCATATTGTTTACTCTCACTGCTCAACTCCAATCCTTTCACTGTGCCTGCCTGACCTATCGCAGAGCTGCTTCCCTTTGGCAAAAGAGCAGATGATTATTCCTGCGGAAAGCAGCTAGCTGTGTTCACAGTCTAGCAAACCCCATTTTCCAGGATCTGAAGAGCAGGACTGCTTCTCCCAGACAAGCAGCAAGATGTTCAAAACCAATAAACTATTAAAGGAATGATGCTGACGAGTCAAGTCCACATAAAGTGCTCACTTTACATACAGTAAGGAAAGAGAATAAGCACGGTAATACACAACCTTAGGGGTCACCTCACCTTGTAGCACTCGTATCTCTCATAGGAAGTGCCCCCAGGGGAGTCAGGGAAGATGTACGGCTGAGGATGCTGGTTCGCCCAGAATTCCTCCTCACCTGCCCTCAGCAGCTCGGTAGCTTTCACCATATCCTTCACATCCTTGTTCTTATCAAACCGTTCTCTCAGGAGAACGGCAAAGTAGCGATACTTGTCTCTGCAGACAGAGGTAAAGCACCGTGACACACACACACACAGGAGGAAAACACTAACCGCCTGCAAAAACAAAGCTCGGCGGCATCGTCTCTCACCCCCCGCGCAAAGCCAGGCCCCGGCCAGCGGCCCCCAAGGTGCTCGCGTTCCCACACCGCCCCTGTCTGCAGCAGCGACGGGCAAGTGCCCTCAGAGGCCTTTTCCTCGACCTTTCGGCCACGCCGCGGGGAGGGCAAGAAGACAAGGCCGCAGCCAACCCAACGCCCCGCCCTGGCGAGTAAGGTCAGCCCCAACCTCCCCCACAGCAAAGCGCGGAGCCGAGAAG